AGCCACGTAACACTAATTATATACGTATTGTTAGGTGTGGACCCTCGTCATTCACTAATCTCTCCTAAGTGCTTTGTAAGCTTGCTGTAGAATTGGCATTAAAACCGAGGCCTCTGTTCTCATCGAATCCTATTTTTGTGCATTTATTTCCTTCTGTCATGGCCCATAATACATATTTCTTGGTTTTTATGCCATTATCAGATCTTAAAGTTCCTTTGAAAAGGCTTGATATATTTGAGTTGAGAGTTTACATGCTATACCAGAAAAAACTTCTGCTACAATTCTTGTTACCTTTCATGCTGTGCTGTCCACTCTTGGTGTCCGTACAACATAGGAGTTTTATTATATGCTTTATTTGGTTACTCTTGGTCTTATTCATTGGTCTTACTCCTGTGTAGCCATTTATCTGTTCTCAATAATCCCTTTATTTTTGGTTCTTTGAGTGGCCTTGGACCAATCCAGTTCTCTTCCCTTTCTCTCTGGTAGTTTACAAGAATAACTGTAAAACGTCCTAGGAATACAATATCCTCAGATAGGGAGGAACTGCCTGAAACCCGTCCCACCAAGGAAATTGAATAGCTGGAGTTAGGAAGGAGCTTCAAGAGGCAGAACCTGAGTTTTGTTCCTCTCTTCCCTGGAAGCAGGATGTCCTTTACAGCTTTTCCCAGTATGTCATGTGGCCCCTGAAGTATATAACCCAGGGTGGGCTAAGTGGGGCATTCATATCAAGAGTACGTCTTTCCTGTTCAGCTTTCTTCAGCCTTGGGGGACTCACACACAATGGATCCAAGACTTCTGTCCCTTGCTAGTTATCTATAAGAAACCAACCCGTTTCACATAACTTATGAATATGTTTTCTTTCACTGGATTTAGGCAAATAGATAACCAGTGCACGGTGGACCTACACAGTAGCCCAGGATGCAGTGGTATATATGGACACCCATTCCTGGTGGTTGGCATAGGGACGATCTTTGCTCTTTTCCACATGGAATGGGAGTTCTTTTTTGGAACTGATAATTAGAGAAGCAGTTTCACAATCGGCCTTCCAAAGAATAATGCCTGAAATATGGTATGGTGGTGCTATAATAAACTGTATGAAGTACACAGGAATGAGTACGTCTTAGACCTAGAGCATGGCATGCAAAACACTCCAGTTGAAGAAGACAGTATTCGAATTTCTACTTATGTTTAAACCTCACTTTTAATTTATTTTAGTGTATTTTGAAATGTGGATAATACTGTCTTATATATCACATGTATATGACTTTTAAATGGGGCTCTAAAAGATTCACTGTTGGAGGGTAATCTCTCTTGTCATGTTAGTTTCTGGTCTGGCCCCTCTGGCTCCCATGGCTCCTCTGCTTCTCTTCCGCACGAGGACCAGTCCCGTACCATAACCAGAGCTGGGCTTGCACTGCTCATGCAATCTTTCCAGACTGCCTTCTTTAACCAGTTCTGATTGCTCTTTGTTGTGATTTGTGGCTCTCTAAATTGGCGAAGTCTTTTTAATGGAAAATGTGTATTCTGCCCCTATTTTGATTAGAAAGGGATAGCTTCCATGTAGCATACTGTTCTAAGGATATATATTTTTGGAATATTACAAACCTTCTCCCCAACTGCCCCACAAACCCAACCTTTATCCGTGATGTCTTCCTGTTTTTAAACTCTCACAACCTCTCTTTCCTCCAAATCCTTCCTAACACAGATTATAAAAAACATTCACAAATAATGAGAAAATAGCAATTATCGTTACATAGCAAGAGAAAAAAAATCAAAATCATCTAAGGTAAAATATATTTTCCAAGAAAGTTATATACAGATACAACTTAAAAAAACCGAATTATACACAAAAATGTATATGTATCAAGGTTGTTTTCTCTTTAAAGTTATTTTCATGCAGATGTTTTTAATAAAAGAAAGAATCCTTTTCATATAAACGAGCATTCTTCCTGTGTATTTTATTATACAGGGTTTGCTTGAATTCACATGTATTTTTACTCCACAGGTTTCTATCATTATTTTTAACAGAAAATGTGAAAAGTATTTGGGGGCTAAGTGCATTCATATAAAGCTCTAAAAGTTATAAACAAAGTTTTGACAGAATGCCAATGATCATTGGCATCATTTCACATTTGAGACAGAATGTCTGTGACCTTCTATATAATTTTGCTTTGTAATCTAATACCATTAGCCAGGTCATCTCTAATAGGGATTCTCTGTCTTGATTAACAGCACCTCCATTTAATCAGTTGTTCAATCTAGAAATATTAGTGCCATCCTTAAATCCTCCTTTTTCCTTACAGTTCATATCCAATTAGTTATTGAATCATAAGGAACATATAACACACAAGATGTGTTAATTTATGTTATTTATCTCCCCTCCTCTTTATTCCAATGGTCACTGCCCTAATTAAAGTGCTATGACCATTCTGGTTTATTGCAATAATGCCTAATTAAAGCCCTATGACCATTCCGGTTTATTGCAATAATGCCTAATTAAAGCGCTATGACCATTCTGGTTTATTGCAATAATGCCCTAATTAAAGCTCTATGACCATTCCGGTTTATTGCGATAATGCCTAACTGGTCTTCCTGCTGCTAGTCCTCCTGTCCTTCAAACTCTCCTTCCTTTCTTCACACTATTGTCAATAATATCTTCTAAGACAGGGATCTATTTTTGCTATTTTCTGTTTAAATAAGTCAGTGCCAGTATCCTAGCTGCTATACAAAAATTTAGAGTGCCACTCAGGTACCTTTACAATTATTCCAGGAATCTGGCCCCTCCATCGCTCATGGCCCGAAATTTTCATCAATATGCCCCTTCGCTTTTTTGCATTTCTACATCTTTTCTTTCTCGTTCCTCCATCTGGACTGCCTTTCCTCCAACTGTCAGCCTAATAAACTCTCCTAAGATTTGGTTCAAATGTTGTCGTTTTGTGAAACCTTCTTCACACTTCTGCGTTCTGGTACTTCTACACTTCTTTTTAAGACCTCCGTGACAACACTTAATGTACTGCATTGCAAGGCAGCATGAGCCTTCTACCCTATCAAGGTACAAAGTCTTTAAAGGCAAGAGCTTTGCTATTTTAAGTTTGGAATGTCCATGTTCATTATAAAGTCAATCCTCTGAATAGTAAGGTAGTTCTGAGACCTAAAACAGAACTTGATTATATTATTTGCTGTTTAATAGATACCTTCTAAATTCAGAGACTTATTTCTTAATCAAGACATAATCTACAGCTTTTCAAAGGCAATTTTTAGAGTGTTAATATTCTGGTTACCTAATTTGTTAATGAAGTCTGTGGTCCAATCTAAATTTTAAACAGGCCTCTTACTCTCTATAACCACGTAAGACAGAAAATGCCTAGAGTTTGGATGTTAAATTTGATGTAACAAAACTTACATATGAATAAAAATTTAAGTTATCTGCCAATTTCCTCTGTATCTTATATTTAGTTATAGGCTTACCATTTTAAAAGTAGTTAAAATATTATTTCATTAGATTTCAAATCAATCTATATAGGCTTACTGCCAAAGGGGCTAGTAGTTATTTCCCATCATATTTAATTCTTTTAGTAGATTGTATTTGTTGCAATTTTCATAAATATTATATTTTATAATATGTAACGGTTTTAAACATTATTCTTCAGCATTGGAAAAAATATGCTTAATGGAAAAATCTTATATTCATTTTTCTGTAACGTCAAAAGTTGTTTTAAGTTATAAATTTATAAATATAAAAGAAAATAAAGACCTTGAGAAAAAAGAAAATAATTATATTTTCCAATTTAAAAATGGAATTAAAAATACTGCTTTTTCTAAACTGAACAAACTGTTTTCAGAATTGACAGATTTTTATTTTTATGAAGCTTTTTGATCAAATTAAAAGATCAATAGATACTGCTACAATGCTACCTAGTATATCAGACAATGAGAGATTATTTTCCTTAGAACTATTTCTTTGTTGAAGAATCTGTAAAAAATATCATTGGTAAATTAATAGAGAACATTTCTACAAAGCAAATATAGTAAGGCACAAAATATTCCATACACAATATTAAACTTGCATTTTATTCTGGAATAATGGAATTGAGCTAAGTTTCAAAAAAATGCATAGAACATGAAATAGAAATAACTCAGTAATGGAGTTGCATCTTTTAAAATAACGTGTAAAGCCAGAAAATGAGAATATCATAAAAATATTTCGAATAGTTTTACTGACTTATTTTTCATTGAAACTGACAGATGAGTTAATGGTGAAGGTTTGTTTAAAAAATAACAGAACATAATTTTATGAATTATTAGCTTGAAGACAGCACAACAGACTTTGAGACCAAATTTCTCAAAACAATAACCAAAGAGATCAATTAAATGAATTGGTTTAGGGTAGTCATAAATATTTACACTATTGATAGGACAAATTAAAGTGATATAATTTGTGGATGACAGTTTGGTTCTAAAGTTTTAAACTTGCATTTCAGTTCACATTTCCTCCAAGTATCATTCAAGAAAAGGTTTAGAGTATACTTATATATCCCCAGAGAAATCTATATTGTCCACTATAAGTATGATCAGATCATTCACAAACATTTGGAAAAAAATATTTCATAATCACTTGTTCCTCACTGTTATTGAGTTAGTAATCAATTCCACCATTTACATACACAGAACTCCATTTAAAGAAAATTACTGAAGCATCAAAGAGACTTCAGCCCATGTTATAACATCCAGTCATGAAATGGACGTTAAGCATGATGTTAAAGTCCCAGAAGAATGAAAGAAAGAAAACAGTCAAGCATGAAAAGTTTTTCTTTTTCTTTTGTTGTTGTTTTTATAAACTAGGCACTCGGATAAAGCGAATAGTTCTCAATTAAATAATACAGTTAAATTCGAAATGTAATACAAACAGAAAATTAGAAAGGTAGAAACAGAATTACTCTAATAACATTAAAAACAATAAAAGTAAACAAACTAGATTGGGAAAGGGCATATAAACTTACAGTTGTCGTATAAGCAGCTTCTGGATCATCTTCCAGCACTCTGGAGAGACCAAAATCAGAAACTTTGCACACCAAGTTGCTATTGACCAATATATTCCGAGCCGCTAGGTCTCGATGAACATAACCCATATCAGAAAGATACTTCATGCCCGATGCGATGCCTCGGAGCATTCCAACCAACTGGATGACCGTGAAGTGGCCATCGTGCTTCTGCAAGAGAATCACAATTGTTTACATTGATTTATTTTAATGCAGTGTGTATGTGTGTGTGTATTAAATAAGATCCTTACATTTATTGTATTGGGTCAAATGAAGATAAACATCAAGTTTGGGGATCATTGACTGTGTTCACAAGAAAAAGTAAGACTTTGCTTGACATTTAAAGAAAAAGGAAACTCTAACTGGAAGTAGTGAAGGACAACTAAACAAAGGACAGAAGGAAATCAACCAAATTAACTCTCAGAACAAAATGATTTCAAAAACGTAGGTGATAGGAGAGAACTAAAGTAAAATAAAGTAAGAGGAAAGGCTACCAAACAAACAGAATTCACTTCCCATAGTTGTGAGCTTTGAACCAGCTGTGGAAGGGCAGCAGAACCTAGGACTGGGTAAAACCCGTGTGATAACTGGAGATACTGTGAAAAATAGTAGTCAGGACAGGTGACTCAGGAAGAAAAAATGTGATGGCATAAACAAGAAACGAGTATCGGAAAGGAGCAGGAGAGCAAGGAAAGCACAAGCAAAGAGAAAATAAATAGATTTTCCCTTTGTTTTCATTATATAGAGAAGATAAGAAAGTTGTTGGCAATTGACAGGGAAATGAGACTATTTTAGTTCCTGGTTGGAAGATTTAAATTAAATAATGTGGAGAATGAATCAGGCATGGTATTAGCATACAGTAATCAATCCCATCTTATCCTCTCCACCTTGATTTTAAAATAATCTATTTTTTTAGAGAGTTAAAAAAAATCCAGTTGTTATCTGAGCAACACGTATGTATCAACAAGACCAGATACAAATCATACCCCTGAAATTAGAGGAAATAAAAAGAAAAATATTTAAAGTTTGAAAAATAATGCATATTATTCTACCTAGTTATTTGGAGACTGCTGTCTTTAATAGAGTTATAGAGAAACATGAAAATTTCTTCTTTTATGTATCAGGCAAAATTTGCAGGAGATTACAGGGCTGTCTTACTTTATGCTATATATTAGAAGCACAAATAAGAGAAACTTAAAAACTCTGCAAGTTAAAGCAGTTTTTATGAATACATATCTGATTTCAAACCATAGTGCAGCTTCAGGACAGGGATGATCTGACCCGAGCTGTCGTGGTGACCCAGTCTCCTGTACAATGATGACTCATTGTTCAGGTAATTGAATAAGCTTACACTACAAATGAAATCAACTTTGTCTTGCTATATCAACTTATCTCTCTGATAGCTCTCTGATAATATCTCCCAAATCTGGTGCAGAGTAAGGGAAAGAACCCTCTTTTAAGAAAACACTCTTATAGCAAGAATATCCATTCAAGCAGGCTCTTCTGTATAATTAATTTATAAAGGATAACTTAGCAAAGAAAATCTTTGGTGTTATTGGCTCTTTATGTTTCGAATCCGTCTTCTTAGACAGCACACTATTAGATGAAATCGGCCTCTTCTGTCATGCACACTGCCTACCAGTTTTCTATTAGGAATCTGGAAACCTTTGAATGCAACTGGAAGCATAAGTTCTTTCAGCCTAGCATGAACTACACTAAAGTTTAAGGGTTGGTTCCTTTACCTATTCAAAAATGGAGTTGCCTCCTATCATAATTCTTGTCAAACAGAATTTTAAAGTAGTAGGGAATGTTAATGGGGCAACTGAAAACTTGAGTGTCTGCTTCCTTATTACACAATGGGAAAAGAGTCATCTAACTCAGAATTGCAGGGAGAATCACATAGAAAACACACAGCTCCTTACTTAATTTAATAATAGTTACTATTTAATAAGTTCTTGTTATTACTGTTATTATATATTTTTTGCAATTTTAATGAGTTAGGAAATTCTCCTGTCACTTTCCTGAAAAATCAGTTCTCAACATATGCTTCTACGTATATAAAGAGAAACAGTTATTAAGACCAGGTTGAAATTTAATGTTCTATCTTGCTGAGTGTGTCACAAAGCACCAGTTTGCTTTTTAATACTTTTATTGAGATATAATTCATGTTCCATACAATGTGTCTTTTAAAGTATACAATTTAGTTTTTACCTTATTCACAGAGTTGTACCACTGTCACCAAAATCAATTCTAGAACTTTCTCATCATCCCCTTTGAAAAGGCCCATACTTACTAGCAATAAGTTCTCATTTCCCCTAACTCCTCCCACCACACTGGGAAACCAGTAATCTACTTTCAAGCTCCACATATTTTCCTATTCTGGATATCTCTTGATTGAAATCATACAATATGTGGTCTTTTGTGACTGTCTTCTTTCACCTAGTATGTTTTCAAGGTTCATCCACCTTGTAGCATGTATCAGTAATTTATTCTTTTTATTGCTAGATAATTTCTATTCCTTTTGTGTATTCATCAGATGATGGATATCTGAATTACTTCTATTTTTTGATTACTATGCGAGTTATTTTTAAAATTAATCTTAAAAATATTTTTGTCACCACCATTTGAAGATTTGGATTAATTGCTTTCATGTCAATGACTATGGTAATAATGGTTCTAACAATGATAAGTGGTATCATTTAAAAAATAAGATTTTGGCATATTAAAAGAATCTAAACTACTTTCTTCATGTACTTTTATAGGACTATAAATGAATAATATTTACTTCTAAACCATTGGCCAAGACATTCCAGGGGTCCATGAGGTCAAAATTACTTTCATAATAACACTAAATACATGTTTTTGCCTTTTTCACTAGGTTGATACTTCCACAAGTGGTATGAAACGCTGATGGGTAAAACTGCAGAAGCCACATCAGGAATCAAGTCAGTAGCACCAAACCAAACTATAGTAGTATTCTCATATTCTTCTCTGACACAGGCACTCACAGGAAGAAAAAAAAGCTAGCTTTTCTTAAGAATGTCCTTGGTGAAGTAGTAAATCTTATGAGTTTCATTAAATCATGATCTTTGATTACACACTCTCAGCATCAACACCTCTGAGGAAGAGAAGAAAGCAGGATGGGCAGCAGCAGGTTACAGTTGGCCTTGTCTATTTTATGGAATGTTCTGGATCTGGGATAACTCCTTAGAGTTGACTCAAACTGAAGAAAAAAAGACTGGGTCCTTGTCCTCCTACATCAATCGCTGGATTCAGGCTGCTCGCGTACAGGGGTCACGGCCTTGGGTGAGGTGTCTGTCTTTAGCCAAGAGCATTCCCTAAAGAGGGATTCAGTTACGGGTTTATCGCTTGCAAAACTCTGGAAGCTATAGGAATAAGGAAGTTGATCCTGTGAGCCCTCCGAAGAAAGTTCCTGTGTGCACATATTTTTATAATCTTTCCCAGGGAACTCAGCCTGTGTTCATTTATCTCTCCATCACTACAGTCATCTATTGATCCATGATCTATCCACCTATCCATCTGTCTATCTACTGTTTATAAAATGTGGGCTTGATGAAAAAAAAGCTCCAAAAGAGTTCTATATTCTTTCGGGAATGTGTACCTTAATTTCTTCCACATTATTATAGGAGAAAAAACAGCTAACATTCATTGAAGGCTATAAGCCAGTCCCAGACTAAGGATTTTACAGGTATTATTTTATTTCATCCTCTCCACATTGACATGATGTAAATGTAGTGATTATCTCCAACTTGTAGATGGTGAAACTGAAGGACAAAGACATCTAATAACCAGCAAATGTTGGAGTCAAGATTTGAATCCAGCAATGACACAGCCTGTATTCTTATCTGCTGGAGTTTTTGGAAAACCAGCTGAACAAAATTTTACCTAATTCTGGGCTAGTTTGGGCAGCATAATTTGGTATAATAAAGCAATGTTTAAAAGTCCTCTTTTTTTTTTTTTTT